AAAAAAAGTAATCATTACCCGCAAGTAATATCTGCATAAAACCCCTACTTATTTAAATTATGGGCCCCGAAAGTTTTAATAAATCAATCAATTTGCAATAATGAATGATAATCAATTTTATTGGGAGAATTTTTTCTCATGAGCTACGACTGCGGGTAATTTTTTATTTCTGGGACGGAAAAGTGGGAAATATTGAATGAAACTGATTGAGTAACTCGGAGGATCACGAGTACTTGTGATTATACTTGGTATGTTACACAGAGATTCATGAGCTATTGCGATGTTGCCCTCTAGGTACACCAAGTGGAACGACCGGGAGTCATGACAGGGAAAGCCACGATCTCACGACTATTCTCACGCACAAATGTAGCTACTTTAATTTATAACCAACGTAAATCCACACAAAAATTATTTGCGAATATATCACCCGGAAAATATACGCAGTGTTCCAAAAAAAAATGTCTCAATTTCCAAAAATTAATCGATCCACAAAATACTATGATTCATGTCCTTGAATTTTCAAATCAACTCAAAAATTCAATTCATATGAAATTTTCACGATGAATATAATAAATGATAAAAATCAATTATCATTTACCATGAAATTTCCATTTATCTTGAACTATCAAGATAAATGATAAATTTAATTTTATGTAATTCAATTGAAATTTAATTCAAATTAATACAATGAAAAATAGCGATAACTTTGTGGTTGGATTTTCAAGGAATTGTCAAGTGTTGTATTTTCGAAAATATTGTAAAGACATGTAATTACTCGGGTTGAAACTAAAAAGGAATGCCTGAAAAATGATATAATGCGTTTTTTGGAGGATTTAAACGATTTCGGAGGAGTCAGGTAGGCACCTGTCAGGCAATCATCAAGTCTCACAGGATGAAAAGGAATACAAAATTGTTGTGAAAAAAGTGAGATAAAAAATATAGGACTAAGAGGTGGAGAAAGAAAGCGGGTCTGGGGTACAATTACGTTGAGAAGGCGTTGGGGGGGAACTTGAAGAGGAGATCGATTGTAGGGGATAGAGTCTTTCATTTCCAACCGTAGTTGAACGAAGAAAAGGCGGACGGTAGTAATCTCGATTGCAGGAACGAGTGTAGAGCAAGATGAATTTCCTGTTTTATTTCTTTTCTCTCGCCATCGCTCTTTCTCCTTACTATTGAAAAAGAACTTAATTTCTCGCTTTTTAATGGTCGTTCAAGGCTTCAAAGTCAATGAAAAAATTTCCCTACTGAAGTGATTTTCTCTAGAGGGATAGGGGCGATGAATCGAGAAATTTAAAGATGTTAATTTTCTAAGAAAAATTGAACCAAGAATTTTTTTATTCAATTTTCGTTAAAAAATTTGAAAATTCGAAGAACCAACTATTTCTCCTCGTTCATTGCACCGAATTTCATTAAGATAAATATTCTCCTCATGGATGTTAAAAAATCTCATTGAGGGATGATACATTATAATCCCCTGGCTTTCATGCACCTCCAATTCTTTGTTTAAAATCGTGGGTTTATTTTAGGAAGAGGGAGGAGAAAACTACGTGAAAATAAAAAAAAAAACAAAATTATAGTATTTTCTCTGTTGTTTCTCCGTCATAATGCGCTTGAACGGTATTTTTCTATCCCCGAGAACGAGAGACAAGTGCGCGTCATTCAAGAGTCCGGCACTGAACGAAAACTGGATCAAAGCGTCTCTTTCACGGTTTTTTTTTTCATTCTCCTCGTGTCGTTTTTTTTGTACTTAAACCTCACTCTATCACCGTGGGACATGTATATGCAATGGCACTGGTGAAAGAGTACAACAATGGAACAACAACAAAGCTTCGACGCCTCGTATTATCGCGTTGCAAAGTGGAGTGATGGCTGTTGAGGCATTAAACCGTCTATAAAGAGAAACTGAATTCAATTCATTCCCCTGATGATGGATTAACCATTTTCTATTAATAAAAATTGAATAAATGCCTCTAACTTAGTGCGAGAGGAATTTATGCCGACATTCATAAATTATTTCGCTCATTCACAACGAATTGACACAGCAAAACCAAAAAAAATCGATTGTCTAGTAGTTTTCGCTCAATTCAATCGTCTAATAGTTGAAGATGAACCCACTGGTTGATTCAGAAAAATTTTCCAGAGAAAAGAAAAAAAAATGATTGAATTTCGCCAGATAGAACGTGAGTTATAACGAAAAATGTGAAAATGATCTAGCGATCTATAAATGATCTATGAAAAGGCATTTGGAATTTTCTCCGGATCTACTGGGGCAAAACGGCTCGTCTCTTTTTTAATATTTGAGAAAAAATGTGGAGGTAATTGGGTAAGCGGATCAATTACTGAATAAATCACGTGTTCTGAGGAGAAATATTGGTTCTAAGACAAGTCATCGAGACAGAGGGATCTACCCGCACTCGATTTGTCCGGGATTTCACGCGCTTTCCAATGAGCCCAATCCCAACCCTCCAACCCTCATGATAATCGTCTATTCTCATCCCCAGACGATATTCCCCCAAGGGTAAACTACCACGCGAAATTTCCCCCGTATATTCTATGGCCATTCCCGAATTTTTCAACACCTGTTTGCTGTATCCGGGCGTCTGGCTGTCGAGAGTAGAAATAAACTTTTACGGAGGGATGTTTTTCCTCGAGGCTGAAATATCTTTTGGAGATGAAAAATTGATGATTTGAGGGGATCTAAGTGCTCGGTTTCCAGTGATGGAAGACATTTTCAAGGGATGATATTTCTGGCCGATTTGTTCACGGAAAAAAATATGAAATTAATGCCCACAACTCTGAGATATCATGAGTGGGTCGATTCAGCATTATCGAGCCACTCGTTAATGACGGAATTATCTCGGTAATTAGTGATTAAAAAGTACTCATCAGAACCATCAGCTGATTAATAAAATCTCAATGAGCAAATTGACTTTGAGTTCATTGAGATCTAAAAATCGAGATAAAATGGATTTTCCATGTGATATCTAATGTAGTATTTTTTCCGACAATTTCACAATTATTCTAAATTAAACGCAATAAATATTCAATAATTAATACCGAATTTTCTTCTGACTCATCAATAATTCCTGTTGGAAATCATATGATATCAAACGGAAACGATCTAAAAAGACTTGATTGAGTGGCAAAAAACTTCGAAATCAGCTCTTGAAAGTTCAAATATTTTTTTTTGTGCAAAAAAAAAATACTAGACGAACTGTCATGGCTCGATGAGATCATACTAGTAATACTCGTCACAAATCAACAGCAGAATGATGAATTCAGAGGTGAAACAAGTGTATAAAAGAGACTTGGCAACGACGCGTCACTCGCATGGAGAAAGACAACACATCCCAAAGACGTTTCATCGGTTGTAATTAATTCTCACGTGGCTGCAGAACGAGGACAGACAACCACGGATGAATTACGCAAATTGTAATTATTGTGCATCAGGGAATCGCATTGTGAAAGAGACTTCCGTTCGTCAATTCATTCCGTCAATTTTCTATTTAAACTCAGACGCCCTCGGGGATCAATAATCACCCCGTCCTCCAGATCGTTAAAAAAAAAATCATTCATTTTCCCGAATATTTTGCAAGAAAATTGAAATTCTCCCAAAACGGCAAAATGCGATATTTTTTTTACTCCACGGCAAATGAAGAAGAGGAAAACTTTTTGTTGAGGTCATTGACATGAAATTGATGCTTTTTTTGGAGGGTGGGAGGAAGCGGTTGGGGAGTCAAAAGTTTTGAGCAGAAACAGAGCATCCGATTGAGGCACCAAACTACAACCACCAGTTTTCCTTTTTTATTATTTTTTTTTATCTCCCTGGAGTGTCTGTAGAAGGCCTTCTGTACCCTGCGCCTGATCACCGGGACTGACTCTGTCCAATGCCGCCGGCGGAGGACTTGGCGGGTTCTCCCTTGCTCAATGAATGATTTCCGCCCATTGCGGTGTTGCCAGGTCACGCGAATCGACAAGTTTACGCGATGCTAGTAAATTTTTTTTTTCGCAGAAAAATAATCGGAATTCCGGCGGTTTTTTGGAATTCCGTTGAACGGAGGGAAAGACAAGGGTCGACAGTGACCCCAGGCAATAGATCAGGAAATTTACTTCCGAATTAAAAAAAAGACGACCCCTTTTGGCCCCGTAGAACCCGAGCTACGGAGAAAAACGTGAATGCGATCTAGCGATCAATAAATGATCAATGAAAATTCATTTAGGATTTTCTCAGGGTCTACTGAGCCGAAATGAATTCATTTTTTTTTCATTCTTGTTGGACAATCCCCGGCTAGCCGATCACATTGATTTCAACCTATTTGGATGCCATGAATGATCTCGGGATTTATGAATGATCTGTGAGAATGGATTTTCTCTGAAAGTAGTGCACGCAGAACCGATTGACAGCCTATCACCAGTGAATGAAAGGGAAAAGTACGAAATTCAATCGATGCCTGGCCTAAATTCGATATTAGAAATGATCAAGAATATCGGGTGACGGTCACTACATTATCCACCGATAATTGATCCCCACTGGTTAGCCCTCCCCTCCCAACCCATAAACATCGAGAACCATTGAAACACCAGCTGGCAACATAGCATGCGTGTGCAATACCTCGATTCAATGCATACGCTAGTACACGAGGCACCACAAACTCCCATAAGACACATGTGGCGCAACGACTTATTAATATTTAAACAGTGCAATATTAATATTCCGTTTCGCAGATATACGAAAATTTATTGTCTCAGTGGCGCCTCCCTGGGTAATACTGACGTGTTATTTATGCATTTTAAAATAGGGGAGCACTATATTTTTGACCTTGAATTTTTATTTTAGAACTCATCCTCAGAGAGTTAATGAGTGTTCGCACCACGAGAATATAGAGGTCCCTAGTTCGATGATTAAAATAATTTGAGAAAGAATTTTTCCGAGTCGATCGGTAGAGTAATTACCGATAATTTTCTTAAAGGTCGATTGACCGAATTATTGAATGACTCACCAATGACAACTGTACTAGCAGCAACTTCTTTGGCAGCAGCAGCAGCAGCCGCTGGTCCATGAGCAAGAAAATCACTGAGTGACAATGAGGAGGCGATTAACTGTCGTTTCTCCTCGAAATTCAAATAATCCAAACTATTGCTCCTCTGTGGTCCAGCAACAATAGTCACTGTTTTAGTCAACTGATTATCATTGGTTTTGGTACATTTTTCATTAGTCTCCTGTAACCCGGGCACCAGGTAAACACCACCACTCACACGAATCGACATTTCACTTTTTACGAGTGAAATTGTCACCTATTTAGTCTCATTACTCGCATTACGTCCACTGTATCACTGCAATGCCAATTAATCAATTGATTATCGATTGTTTAAAGCGTTGGGGACGATTCAATCGATTTTTATCATTTTAGAAATGATTTTCGAGTGGAAAAAAATTGCTGTTACAGATTTATCAGGGAAAAACTTTTGTTTAGAACTTTCTCAAGTTGAAAAATTGTTGATAAATATTCAATTAGCGTCTCATTGTGATCGGATGCATTGTTCTCTGGGTAACTGAGGTAGTCATTGTTAAAACGTTTGTTTCCAGGAATATGCCGATGCACATCGGCTTTTCCTCAGTACGGCCATGAAAAATTGCGATATATTGTCTCTCATAAATTTTTTATTCACTCTTTACATCATTTGCGGGAATTCCTCTGTCCCTGTAATCTTTTGTTATTCATCTTTTATGTTCGTTGTGATAAAAAATGCACTGGAATGTTGCAACGGTTTTGGCATTTTCCGAGGGAATTTTCACGGTCAAATTTTTCACCATTTCATTATCCAATAAATAAATAATGAGTTATTCCAGTCGGTCATTATGTAGAAAGTGGAATAAGGAATTCCATTTCAATGGTTACAAAATAAACGAGCGTGTGGAATGTCACATTGACATTTTGTGGTATGATGCAATAACAAATTTTCGATTTATTAAAATTGACCTAGAGGTTTTTTTCTTCCGGGATTGGATAACCGAGAATTTCTGATTTTAATGTCGAGTTGTCAATTCATTTTACCCCGGTATCCTTTAAAAAATCGAGAAAGAAATGTAAATCGACAGTTATTGGGTGAAAATCGAATTGATTTATTTTTTTAATCTCATCACAAACTTTATGACCTGTCTATTGGGATCACTCTAGATTTCACTAATGAAATTCAATAATTTTCAATTCAAATTTCGACTTTTCAATATTAGAAACCCGAAAAATTAGAGCTTGTCGTCAATTTCAATTTGAATAACGACAAAAAAAAAACGACTAACCCCGTGGAATAGAAAATGAAAAAAGTCCAGTAATGATTGACTAAAAAATGAAGTTATAAAGTCAAAAAAGAAAAGATTGACAGATGAGATAAAACATGCAGTGGAGATTAATCACAAACGGATTATAGTGCACCTCAAGGTCTTCCCCTCCCTTCCCAAATGAAAAATAATGAAATAAGCATTTCCCCGGAGCAGTTGGAGTTAAAAAAAGGACTAGAATTTTTATCTTCTGATTTCCCCTAAAACCATCGATGATGCACTTCCTCCACTGCTACCTGACCCCTTCCCCCTATACCCCTGTTGTTTCGAAACACCTGTGCGGCACGCGATGGACGAGAGATACAGGGACGCTCTGCCGGATATACCACAACACAGACCAAAATAAAAATAAATAGAAAATATCCACTGCATGTGTACGTGAATTAACTACAAAAGTACATTTGTTTTCATCAAAACGCTTTCCAGAGCCAAAATATGTAACATTTTTCGATGGCCATGAATTCTTTCACTACCCAAAGCAATTTTTTTCCACTCAAATAAATCCAACAAAAATATAGAACAAATAAATAAATAAAAATCATCGATTTTTCGTTTTGTTCTCAACAATGGAGCGACTAAAAAGACAATTGAAAGTCCCGACATGAATTATCAAGTGTCAAACTGGCATCTTGTGATTTAAGCATCTGTAAAAATACTTCACCTGCGCCAACGATTGTTGTTTTGTTTTTCGTTGGGTAAGAATAGAAAAAACGTTAGAAAACTGGAAAAACCGATAATCGGTGATTTTTCGATCGCACTGTGAACTCACTAATTAGAATGAATTAACACTGTTTGTGGCGACTGGCGTCACTATTCGTCATTTCACCGAGAGAAGACGATTGGAATTTGTAATATTTTTTTCGTCAGCCTCCGTAGGTGAAGAGTGAACACATTATTCTTTTAAATTAGAGGTTATTAGAAAAGTGAGTTTACAGGGGCGGGGGCGGATGTCGTCGGTGGACGGATGAGCTCAGACGGATGTTTGTTTTTGGGGTATTGAAATAATAGTTTATTTGTTAATTGGGATGTAGAAACAAATGGGTGAATAGACTGAGAGTGGGACGCGACGTAACCACGCACCGAGCGAGGCTCGTGAGCACTGAGGGGCAGCCATCCCACCGACGCGACGCCTATCGGCCACTTTATTCATCATCACACGAGGCTATATCCTATTTTCAATAACTCCCATCACTTCTCACCTCTACACTATTCACACCAATTTCACACAATATTTCAATCACATTCACCACCAATATCTCAATATTTCAACCTTTTTACGCTGTATTAAAATGCTAATCCAAATTATTATCAGATTATCATCTATATTATTTTTTTTTTAGATTTTGGGAGTATCCCAAATATATATATATACATTAGATATATATATATATATATTTAATATATATTTTTAATATATATTTTTTTCATGTAATTTCTTTTGACCACTATTTTTGTACTATTTTTGTTAACTCCTCATTCTGATAATTGCAAAAATCTCAAGTTCGTTCTTTTCTTCGAATCTGTTGATTCAACAAAAGGAATTTCTGTTGTTTTCTATTTGCTAATATAATACCCGGTAAAGAGACGATACAAGAGTTTTATTACACGCAAATACACGACCGAGCGGGTTTATCTGATAATGATGATAGGTACGAAATTGTGTTTAGATTACGTTAAAAAAAAAATAGTAACACGCATTGTTATCGAGTTTTATTGATGTAGACAGGTGTAGAACTGATGTCAACAGTTATTATTTATCGTCGTTCTCCCATTGGGATAATTCGAAAGAATGATTCATAGGCAAAGCAATGAATGATTGAAAGTGAATGAGAATAGAGAGATAACAGATGACTCAAAATAAAGAAATCAATGGGACGAAAAACTGAACAATAACTCATCAATCGATTGATTGATTTTTTCTCGACTCGTTTTTCCCTAGTTTAATGCACTTCAACAGAAAAATACCGATGATGAGTCATTGGCCGAAGTGCGTCTAGACCTTTAAATATAAACCGAAAGGCCATTTGTGCAGATATTCTCAAATCTAAAATCAAGTGAGGTAGACACACTGTCTAGTCGCTGTCACAACTAACGACTGAAATATGAGAAACACAGCGCCATTCACACCCTCTGGAGTATCTTATTTATTTCATTTATTCCCTTCGGAAATATTCACAAAGCGCGGAAAATAATCCGACACCTAAAAAACAAGTATTGGAATGTCACTTTAAAAAAACCTCGGAATGAAAAGTTCAAATGCCGCTTCCGAGGAATTTGAGGGGGGGGGGTATGACATACATTTGAAAAATCCCGTGAAAATCTAAGTGACAGTAAGAAAAAATAATTTTTTTTTCCTCCATTACTCTTGAGGATTGACAATTTAGTCTAAAAATTGAAATGTAGTTTTTTTCAATGTTTTTTTTTTCGTTTTTGGATGAATTTTGTGATTGATAGAGGGGAAATTGGAGCAGATGGATCGATATTTTATAGACTTGAATTAAAAAATGAAAAAAAAAAGAAAAAAAAAGTGATAAACTTCTGAGGGACTCGAACCTCTGAAGTTACGGATGGCGAAGTCGGTTCGACGCTCGACATTCGATATCTCGATTCACTCGTGCTCCGTAAGTGGATGGGTGACCGTTTTATTTCAAACTCCAGTTTCTCCTCTGTTTCACACACTGACACTGTCTAAAATGACATTGTCAATTCAAGACGGAGGTAGAGTAAAGCTTTGTCGTGCTCCACTTCGGCCTGCGATCACTACAGCATGTCGAAACTAAGGCCTTCAAACAATTTTTTTCACCAACTTGCACAGAGATAAAAATTCCCCTGATATGATAACAGACACGTCACGATTCTCCCAATTTTCACGATCATATGAGCAATGGAATTGGAGTTTTATCAACTGTTTGAGATTTTAATTGAGATTTAGGTGAATTTCGCAAGAGTGCATCCTTGAGGAAATTCATCTTTACGAATGAAAATAAACCACCGGAGAGATAAGAACAGAGAGAATCAGAGCTCCAAACAATCGACAACGATAACCAGAGGAAATTAATCCCCTCGACCAGGGGAGGTGGAGAACGTTAAGAAGGAACTTGCGCCGGATAGCGTAATGAAGAGATTGCTTTCCTCATTACGGTTGAAAATTCATCCTGTCAGCATTAATGTCTCCAAACAGCTACCACCAACTCGAATTGACATCCACCAAAAAGTTGCAAACAAAAAAAAATTGTAAACCACCAATGAAAAATTAAACAGCCAATAAGAATAGATTGCCAACAAAATTGAAGCAATAAATGAGAAAATTGAGGATATACCGAGATAATATATTGAAAATGGCTATTAAATCGCCCGAGTGTTGGTAAACGCTGGAAATGAATATTTCAGCGCTCGCAAAATAGAATAAATAAATCTATTTGTGCTAGAAGTCGATAGCAAATGCCACAGATCCTTTTAATACACCTGTGGGTTTCACCTCTCGACATATTGCGTCACCTTTTGCCTCCCATGCTTGAATATCCTCGCAACTCTTCTAATTATACTCCCAGTTACGTTAAATGCCCCCACAAAAGTCTGGGTTATTTCAATGCATCCAGCATTCATCATCGAAATTGAGAAAAAATAAATTGATTGCTGAATTAATGAATGAGACGTAAATCCCGAGACTTGGAAATCAGTTCACATGATAAAGTGCGACGTAAACACGAAGAGGACAATCTGCGCCGTCTAGACAACCTCTGAGCCGTCAAAACATGGATTCAATTACCAGTTATTAATAGGGAAAGGTTCGATCGCGTATCATACCAAAAAAAATCTGCATTCAAGTTTCTTTTTCCTGTTGTTAATTTTTTTTTTTCATCAAAAGAGTTGAGAAGTTAAGGCATCTGAATGTAGGTAAGCCCGTTGGATAGGTTGGAAAATTTGACACAAGATTAAAAAAAAAATAATCCTTCTAGCTCCCATAGAACCCCAGCTAGAGCAAAAAATGTGAAAAGGATCTAGCGATCGATAATTGATCTGTAGGAATTCAGTCAGGATTTTCTTGGAATCCACTTGTGCGATTTTGTTGCTCTTTTTTTCAATTGATCGGTAAATTTTTCGATCTATTGACGGGGATCACTACCGATTCTCATTTCAGGTTCTTCGGCTTGCTGAGAGGCTTGAATGCAAATTGGCGATTCAATTCTTGTCGAAACTGAGGAAAATTTCCAGAATTTAGCCTCGAGGCGCCCCAAAACCACAATATCGAAACTATTTCAATAAGAGTTTGCTCTCCAGTACAGGGGAGGATAGAAAAAACACCCTCTGGAGTGAGAAACTTTACTCCATTCCGTTCCTTTATGCATCTTGTAGACTCGGCAAGTTCGAAGTTTTCTCAGTTAGTTTGGGACTCGTTTCGACTCGTCTGAGTAATCATTCTGAATCATTTGACGGTGAATAGAGGATATACCCTCATCTTGTCTCGAACTTTTGATTACCATTGAGACACGTGAAATACTTTAATTGCATTTTTAATCGCAGTCTATCCCGGATTTTGCCCCATTCAACTGAAGAAAATTTTGCAAATTCCCTCTATTCATACACTGCATTTGAGTTTTATCAATTTTTTTTTCTCTTTAAACTGATGATCATCTTGAGGGCGATAGCACATTTTACTGGGTGTATGGTCGTTGTAGAGCTCGATAACGCTTCGTCAGCGCTGATAACCCCGATTTTTTTTTCGCCCCCTCGAGTGTTGGTGAAAAATAAAATGGAAAAAAAAGGTGCGAAGCTCCCGTTTTCCGAGGATATCTCGGAAACCAGCGAGATAGAGTTCAATGGATTCCCAGGGAAATTTTCGATTCCAAACTCTGGTCGTAAACCGATTTATCTCCCCCCAGAATCACAAAAAAATATTAACTCCAAAGAATTGATCTATTGGCTCATTTATTCATCACTCACGCGAGTCCATTTCCTTCTGTTTTCTCAACTCGATTTTTCTCCCATTTCTTTATGCGAAAGCAATAAGCTGGAATGATTGGAGTCGAATGACGGTGTCTTGGCATTCCAACGACAATCGATGACCTACATTTTCAACAATTCACTGGCCAAGTTAATTTTTCCTATTTCTCCCCATGATCTTTCCTTTTTCCTCCTTCAGGGGTTCATTTGGCCGAGGAAATGACTGCATGGAAGTTTCTTTCCAGAGATTTATGGTAATGCGTCAAGGATTCACGAAAATAGTGATAACAAAAAATGTTGGACATTCACCAACTCCTAACAAATCCAAATGATCGAGTCTCCTCGAAACTACAAGAGGAATTCCGAAGAAAAACGAGTTTTCAATTGCACCAATCGATAGCCAGGAAAATTTACTGACAAATTAAAAAAAAGACGGTCCATTTATCTCTTGTAGACCCAGAGTTATAGTGAAAAATGTAAAGGGGATCTGGTGATCCATCATGATCTATAGAATAAATCGGGATTTTTGGAGGATCTACTGGAGCAAAATCACCCGCATTTTCAATCCGACGAGAAATTCTCCTGACTATCCGATAAACTCATCCCCCATCCCTTTATTCTCCATCATAAAAAAATGATCTATAGATCTATAACTGATCTACGAAAACATATTGAAGGTTTACTCGTGATCTATTGAAGCTAGAGAGCTCATTTTTTTTTTAATTTGTGGGTAAATCTTGCGATCTATCAGCCGAGATGTTGAACGAGCTCACGACTGTGAACCCCGAGGAATTCCAAAGAGTCTGCTTGTGAAATATAAGAATTTAATATGAAGATTCGATATTAGGGTAACCGGAGTCGACTTTTCTATGCAAGGACTCAGCCAAGATGTTGATTTCCCGTGACTTCCTTCCGCAATTTGCCCCGACAAATGAAATCCGCTTGAATTTCCACAGACATTGTCAAAGTAGAACTGTCAACATACCACTTCCGATGGCCGTCAGCCGCAGGAGGCTGTTCATGCTGTCGCCTCCAATCTCTCAGTCTTCACCTTATATTTCCTCTTATCGTGCACATGCATACACACGTGTCACTTGATGAAGGTTAAAACTGACACTTTATCAATCCTAACCCCTGGGTACGCAAAATTTTCCCAAACAATTTCTAATCACATGGCATTCACCAAATTTCACAGACACCAGTGAAATTCATGGCCCCGATTAATGTTCAATTATCACTGATTTTCGATGGCTCTCTGATGACGACGAAGCGTCTCCGCTGATGGCAGCGGTCGTACTGTTCCCCTGTTAGTACGACGACGAGATGACGACGACATTTCACCGCACCTTGGTGGGCTTCCGAGCATTAAACATCCGCACGTATATTGCTCCTCACTATTATTTATGGTATGTTCATAAACTACTACCACCCACCAGGTGGATCATCGCTTTCATGTGGAACAACTTTACCCTGTGACCACTCGAGCGCACCTCATTCTCTCCATGCCCCACCCACAGTGAATACTTCGATTGATAACGATTGATAACGATATAGATACCGATGGGATATTACTCCTCCAAAAAAAAATTTTTTTTTCATCAATTAGAGAAAATACTTTCACCACCTGCACTCATTGCACCCCCAACGCGCGTGGAATAATCATTGATTTAAAAAAAAACATTGATAATTGATAATTGATAATTGATAATGTTTCGATAATCTGAGTGGAATTAAAAAATTCATGTCTCGGTGAAATTTCGCGCTCATCAATTTTCATTAGTATAGAGCCCTGGAAATGAATTTTCTTAAAAAATGGGAAATCGCTTTTCTATATTTCTGAACTCGACGATCCCTTCGACAAAAGAGGTGGGGGGGGGAGGGGAGCGGCGATAATATTGGACATTCGTGGTGAAAAATCCTAGACTTCATTTTCCCGTAGCCCTTTTGTATGCAAAACCACGTGGAATATCAACTCGGCTATCAGTGAAGTTCGCAAAATCACGTCAATAAAGGGGTGGACGAGAGAGGGAGGATACAGGAATTTTCAAAGGGGAGGGCACAACATTGAACGATGAGCCATTGTCGTATTTCATCGGTTTTTTTTCCCGAGGGGTAAATGGGAAAGTCTTCTAATAGAAATAAAAAAAATAAAAATGGGAAAGTCTTCAGGTGAATTTCATCGGGGAGGCTTTGCGGAAGGGAATTCCATTGTTTGGACATTAGAGGCAATTGAGGGAGGGAAAAGGGCGTGGGGGAGGGTTTATTAAATTGCCGAGGGGATTTTCAGGGGAAAACATTGCTGGGATGTTGCAATTTTAATCAATTGAGTCTCCCGTCTGGGTCGAAGGGATTGGAATGTTAAGATTTAATATTGAATTAGATTGAACGATTCGTGCTTCATTTTGCATGAGGTACTCACGCCAGATTTACGAAATTGTTTAAAAACCCCCTCCTTCCTTCTCAAAAAATATAAAAAATTATTCAGAGAGGATAAACAATTCCTTTCCTCCCCCTAAGTCCTCATCAAGATCATCCCCCGGAGTAAATCGGTAAGTTCCACCGGAAAAAAACCTAGAGGCTGGGGAATTATTTTCCGAACACCTCCCCCAGACGAAGACTCCTTTGTCCACCCTCGGTCAACATTGTTACCGGTGATATTGAATTAGGTCTGGTATTTTAGCTGGACAGTACAGCCCGCAATGTGTTATCACCTCCGGGTAGATGACGCGGGTATCCGGTCAACGCAGCCCAACAAGTTTGTCCTACACCGGGACTATATCCAATAACGGTAATCGATTAATGAACCACTTCACATAGACCCATCCGCGGTAAGAATATTCTCATTTCTTTCCCGACTTATGAAAATTTTATCGTATCAACCCTGACGATTTTCCCCAACAATTGAAATTTCAACTGCTCGATTCCAGATCTAGTTGTTCGATCCTGTTCTTTCCAGAGATGGAGATAAACAGGGAGACGCCCTAGCGTGATTACCATGTAAACATGACCTCATTACCCCTCAGCAAATAAATTCTGATAATTCTCCGAGGAAACAACCCCACCCCCTGTGTGAAATCTGCTAATAGCATCGATCAATACAAATTATGCCGTTCGTCGCTAATTATTTCGGTGCAAGAGTCATATCAAAATCGACTTCAATCAATGATTCTTTCAATCAGAGTTTATGGACTTTAAGATTAATTAACAAATCGTAAATTACGATTTTCATTTCGTAAATAACGTTGTACGCCCGATATCTTAGAGTTGGAGTATTATTGTAAGTGAACTGAGACTATTATGAAGACCCTCTGTATTTTTACACAAGAAAATGGCGACTCTGAGACTTGCGTTGAGAATAGCTGAAGATATTCGAGTTCTTATCCGTAATATAAACCCCCGTCCGGACTTTCAATCTAAGTACATTACTGGACTATCGGATTTTGCTGCTGGCTACGGTTGAAATCCCATTGGTACAGTGGTCTTTAGTGGTAAAGGACGGAGTGATAACTCGGCGCCGCAAGCCGAGATGGAGAAATCCCAGGGAAAATACTGTTGACAGTAATTCCCATAAGGATGTTACAACTACTGAGAGTGCACTCCAGTTATACCAAAGCGACTTGACCATAATTGCACGCTGATATTTCGACTGTAAAACGCGATTCAATCATTTTTACAGGTGAATTAAAATTAAAACAAATTTCAGTGATTACTCCGTAATATGGGTCAAGCCAAATTGCTTCAAGACCCTCGCACGCACTTACTCTTCACTTTACGTGAAAAAGTCACAAGTACCAAATGTAACCCTCTTCAAGACGAAGAAAATCGCATTTACCCCGTCCAATTATTCCAATTAACGACTGAGATATCGCAGTTTGTATCCCGCAACGACTCGCGCCAGCACTCGCGCGCTCCTCGCGCTAGTGGCAATTACAAATTTTTCTATTTTGAGTTCTAACTGAGATATAAAAAAGAAAAAAAAGACGATTCTCTTCATTACAAAAGTGAGATTGTTGAAAAATTGATGCAAGTCATAATCGCCTCTTGATTCAACTCGCAAATCGACACGAATAATTTTATTAATTCTGTTTCACGCGCGTTCACACGCTAAACGCGTACTTTACGCAACGAATTAGACCCTCCAACGACATCTCTTCATCCCGTAGGACTTCACATTACGCGTAATGCACCCCGGGGTAAATGGTAACGACGTCGTCGTCGCATTTAAATAGTAAAACGCAAAAAACGCAGGGCAAATTATAGCACGGTATAACCCCCTGTCCCTGGGTGTGTGTCTCTGGTATTTGAAACGAGAAGGAAGAGTTGGCGCAATGTTGGCCTCTCAATGGCGACGGGGGAGGACGTTTGAGGTGGAGGAATCTCGTGAATATTCAATGCCCAGAGAGACGAGATTTTCGCCTCAGAAAGAGATGCCACTGGTATTTCTCCGTTGGAGTGAGTAAGGTCAGTTCTAGGGGCTTTTCTTTCTAGGACGCAGCGTAAAAAGCTATTTCCAGCTGATGCAGATGAACAACTTGCCATTTCAATCCATAGATTTCTGCGACACGTTGTAAGAATTCATTTGAATGGTCTCACGCGAGGTCTTTAGAATTGGAATCGTTAATCGGTCTCCGGTCAACACGAAGATCGACAAATTTTACATTAAAAAATTTATCCAATTTCAGGTCCTTTATCAGGTTATTTTATCGACAATATATCTGTCACCTGTCTATTATCACTGACCTATTTGTTCGGGTCCAAAATGCCCTTCAAGTTATCAGTATGAAATTGTTGTTTGATATTGATGACCGGTTTATTGTATCTATATTTGAGACACGAATGATCGATTCTTCGGGAATAACACCCATTCTCTCGATATTACCCACAAATGGAGGTAGATTTATGTCAGGCACGTGCGAAACACCGGTCCTCTCATCTTGTCTCGGGCTACAGTCTGCCAGACGCCTTTGGAATTCATCCAGATGATGCTGACGACATCCACTCGTCAAACCACATCCTCCGATATGTTTTGGATAAAGTAAGCCACAGCGCAACTATTTCACCACCTAATTTGAGGATTCAGGAATCACAGAGACCTTTTGAGAAAATATTCCATCAGACAATCGGTATGTGATTCAAAATGGCAGTGCATTTTTAATACCAGTTGTTTGTTGATAACTTGTGTTGGAAGTGTCGAGTATAAAAAACGTGTGAGGATTTGTACGTTGTGCCATCGAGTTTATCTTGAGGAATGCCTACCGTAGATAAGCGTCACAGAGACTTATCAATTCGTACAGATAGCGGGTTTTGAAGGCATTTGTCAGTCTGTCGCGCCAGTCGTCGCGGTGCCTCGTCTGTTGAATCGCTGGATCGGATGGTTAAAAAATGGTGTTCAAATACCGACCAATATTCAACTGGAATTTTTTTCGTAGAAATCTAAGGCGTGCCAAGATATTCCCCATTTTGTTAGCCTCATTGGGAGTTGTGTGGATAGTCGTGCAGCAAATGGTGAGTCGAACGTCAACTTTAGGGTGACAACACCTCGACTTTTTAACTTTCATACTGGATTTTTCAATGGCAGAGACTCTGGAATTTATCGAGCCTGAAATCCATGACAGAAACATTTGGTGACGAGCTGAGAAGAGAGATGGAAAGACTGATAATAGTGAACGAGTCAGATGACACCTGGAGGAATCTAGGTGTCAATGACTGGAGGGGATTTTCCGCCTATTTGGAGACTAGACCAGAAGTCGTTCTTGAAGAAGATGATTCGTTGATTTACGCTGGGAGTACCTGGGGTTTTGTAAGTAAATCAATGATTCGGATTTGTAAGATTGATCAATCCGAGATCATTGAGAATTTCTGAATGACAGGCGTCGCACATCAAATGATTGAGAGAAAACAACAGCAGCAACATCATCAACTAATCCAATCGACTTCTTCTTTTTAGATTCGAATAATCAGCATAGTTCCGGTATCAGCTGCCTCCACCCAATTGGCCTGCAGTTTCCGCTATCACTCCACCGCCAATCACACCACTATCCTGAAGAAGCCATCAATCAGAACTGAATTAGTGGCATTTGGTGAGAATTTCGGAATGTACTACAGCGCAGCTTACATCCTCTGTCCACTTCCGTACCCAAACGAAGCGCTTCCGCCAGGCGCTCAATTACCGGTGGGTTTGACAGTATCGATCAATCGAGATCGATCGACTGACTCTCCCGATCCCACCGACTTCATTACCATCCGATATCCAAAGCCACAAGCCACGAATGAAAAATCATTCGCAGTGTGCGTTCAGCCGTTTCATCATCACTTCGACAAGGTCGACGATTTGATCGCCTTCATCGAGTACTACCGAATGATGGGAGTCAATCGTTTCACGTTCTATCGAGACTCTGTAACATCCGGTGTCGATAGAGTCCTTGATTACTACTCTCGTCTGAATGTCGCAGTTGTTCTTCACTGGAAGCTACAGGATCTATACGATTTCGAGAGAAATCTCCGGGTCGACGGCATCTACGCGGCACTCAATGACTGCTTGTACAGAAGTGTTTTTTATGATGGGTACAGGTATGTCCTAGGAGTTGATGTCGATGAATATATCGTACCGAGACGCCACGACAACTTCACGGAGATGATGGAGCATCTCAATCCTGAGGGGGCTGGCATCACTGGAGCTTGGATTTTTAGAAATGTTTTCTATTATCTGATGTATGACGACGATCTAGTCACTCTGTCACCTGGTGAGACGACTTCACGAGTTTCTCTAAGAAGTTGGGAAAAATTCCAGTGAAAGCATCACCTTTTATTATATTCAAAGAGATTTCTGATGGAAAGGTCTTCCTGGTGAAATTTTCAGTGGAAATTTTTCTGGCTCTCAACCAAAATTGATCCCCTCCTCATTCCAATTCCCCCGAGAACATCTAAACGGCTTCTTTAAACAATTATTTATAATGTTTCAGGAACCCCGAGGATGAATTTTCACAGTAAGACTCGACGATGGGAAAGGACAAATCCACCTCATGACCGGAGCAAGTTCATCGTGCAGGGAAGGGACGTTGTCGAGTTGGGAAACCATCGAATTTGGAAGTTGAAGAGAACTTGGTCGTTATTCACAAGTGAGTGCCAGCGAAATTCAAGAACTGTACTATTTTCAAATGTCGAATTGTCACTTTGATTTCAGGGTTCAAAGAGACCGCAGTTGATCCCGATGTCGGTACATCTAATCACTATCGATTCTGCGAAACGGAAATTGATACTTGCTGGCACCGAAAGTCGATAATCGACAGAACAGCCCATCGTTTCACCCATAAATTGGGTCTGAGAGTGAAAAATATTTATCGTACAATCTTCCCTGGCAATTATAGGTGATTGTCCATCAGTTGTCATCAGGAATTGATAACGAAATACATCAATTTGTCCGATTTTTTTTAAATGAAACAACAAATGACTGACGCTCCAACTATGCCCATCGTTATGGGCTCTCGATGGAAAACGTCAATTCTAATAGCGGGGAAACAGATATTGAAGCGAATCGACTGTTGATGCAGTGGAAATTTGAGGACTGATTGGTGGCTGTGGGTCACTATCGATTGCTACCTCTGGTGGGTCAACGTTTGCCTGGACAGTGGACATTGCCGTCCTCAGAGTGTCGAAATTATGACAAGAAAAATCGAAGAACGAGACTAACGATTCAGACATTTATCACCAAAATTTGTCAATTAAATTGTCAATCAACAGAAAAATGGACAGAAATCGATGGCCGATCGAGCTTCGAATAATTGAAGAAAAACCGAAAAACCATGGAGATAATTTCGAGAGGATAATTACTTGGTGGGATTATCCGTGGTTGTTGTCGCTCATGGATAAACAATTGTAAAAATCGATAAAAACATGTATGAACGTCTGAGCGTACATCCGAATGAATCCCCAAATAAAATGGGTCAATTATCGCAACGAAAAAATTCACCATTTAATTTACCCACTTTATAAATACATTTTCCGATAAATTACCCTTTGTTTCCACGCTCGTGGTATTTTTAACGAGTTTCTGTCCCGGATTATTCCCAATCCGGTGGGAGTAACATATAAATCATCGCCGGAGGTGAATAAAAATCCGTCAGGCAATGGCAATTATTTTTTGTTCATTGTCAATAATTCCAGTTTGCCCTTCCGGGTCGGTGGTCTTGAGGCGATCGGGCGTAAGTGCCAACCCCTCAAACCTCTCTTCGATATTGTTTGATGCCATTTATTGAACGACCGCAGATAAAAGGATGGATTAAAATCATTATCGAATTCCGTGACGACTCAGATTTTGAGAATTGACAAATGAAAAAAAGTCTTGATGCAAATCGATAGAGGGAATTGATTCAATTCAATTGAATCGAAGAATCGCGATTTATCAAGTCATTGTCAAAAATTGGATATTTTTTCTGAGAATTGAGATATTCTTTGGACTGGAAGAAATGAAAAGGAGAGGATCTATTTTTGAGATTCGATTATCTGTTGACGTACCTTGCGAATAGATTGGAAATTCTCCGTCGCTGTGACTGTGCGTCAGCATTCTCGCATATTCACGTCGAAAATTCGCGGGACGTCCGATGATTTCAAATCGACGTCTCATGCGATCATCAGCTGATGTCCCAGCGAGGATTACATTGTCCTCTTTTCCAAGACTCAGAAGACTCGCTACCTTTTGGAGCGACACCCCGACGACTATCGGAGTGCCGCTCGACGATTTCTCTGGCTTCCACAGTTTTCACGTATTTTCTTTTAATTTTTCTCAATTCCACATTTCACCTTTTTTTTTTCTCACTAATCTTTCGGTCTCTATTTATATCCGAGGATAACTCAGCCTAATTGTAATTATTTAATTAATTATAAAAATAAATAATGAAAATTATGAGAACTTTTTTTATAACGGATAAAACAGCTTTGAATGTGAAATAATTTTCCGTAGGGGAAAAATATTTTAGAATGAAAAAAAAATTGTTTATTAATTGTTTATTGGAAGGACTATTTAAAATACTCAGATATCCTGGGATTTCTCTAGTTTCCTGTTTCAACTTTAATTGAAATCACCGAAAACTCATTGTTTATCACTTCCATTGACACTATAAAAATAGTAAATAATTTCCACGGATCAAACGAAATATCACTTCACGCCAGAAAAAACGGAATGCCCGTAAAACTTGAAGATATAATTTCCCGCACTCGAAGGAAAAATTAAAACTCAGAAGATCTCCACCAGTTTATAATTCCCAGGTGTCTCCCCTTGTCTCTTCATTTCCTCTCACATCACCCAGCAACTTCGTTTGAATAATTCATCCCTCTCTCGAGACAAAGTGGAGAGATAAAGAAACTTGGACTCCCGTGTCCTCAGGCATTCCAAAAAGGTAACAATTCCCTCCGGGGGGTGGGTGGGTGGCACTTCCCCTAGTCGATTAGTTACTCAGGTATTTAGTTAACGGACGGCACCGAGAGCGCAGGTGGACAATTAAAAATTTCCCCCACCCCCCCCAAAGGGTGAATGAATAATTTTATGTGGAGTATTTTTGGGTTTGTCTCATAATTTTTTTTATCAACGAAAACGGGGAAGGACTGACGTCCAGGACGGGTTCGATGCGCGCACTGGGATGTTGAGTGGCTCTGGAATATCTCGCAAACTGGGTGGGAGGTGGGGGGTGGGTGGTACAGCGCAAGCTTAAGCCCATTGGAAGCAGGAGAAATTACGAATTCAGGGGTTCATTTTTTTTTTTTGAGTTTCGATGTCGAGGAGTTTTCGGGATCTCGAGAGGAAAATATTGGAATTTTTTTTCCCCGCGGGAAAATATTGGAAATTTTTTTTTTCTCAGGGTGAGCCCAGGCCTTTGACCTGAATCGAGGATCATCCCTCGAGGGAATTCTAGGGTTCGAGGGCTTTTTCGAATTTTCCGGAGATTTTTGGGGTTTAGAGTTTGAAAAATAGTTTATTTTTTCAATTTTTATCAGAAGATTTTCCAGAATCTCGTTTTTTGAAAAAATGAGAACATTTTCCAATGAAATGTTTGAGGGAATGATTAATTTCCTCAAAGTTATAGGTGTAAAGAGAAATTTCGAATGAAAATTTCCGACAGAATCTTTTCCATTGAAATAAAGACGATGGAAAATTAATGAGTAATTAATTTCCTCCACCTCATTTGGTAATTAGTCCGCTGTCATTGGTGCCCACCGACTAAATAATTCAGATAATGAATGAATAATATTCATTCCCCCGAATTTTCGAATTTAATCACTTGAAATTCACCAATTCGGCCGATCCATTAATTAAAATGTGATTAAAAACGCGAGTTGGCCGTAATGTTCATGAAAAACAGATGGTTAAACTTTTCCCACAGCCATAATTACCGGTAAAACCCACCTAAATTATTCAAATAATAATTAATGAAGTGACTCCTGACCTAGGCGACGTAGAGGGCTGTAGGGTATGGGGTCATGGACGTGGGGGCAAAGCCGGAAATCTCCAAGCAATTTACGAGCGTTGTACCACTGGGACGGGATTAGTGACAGTCAAGTACACTCTGCATTTCCGGTTTAAATTGTATCGCCCATTGTCATCGCTGAGCGACTTTTCGGTTTATTTCGGCGATATTAACTGAGTGAAAAAAAATTCCCTCCAAGAGAGGCCAAAAATACTTTTTTCCCGCGAGAATTAATTTTACCACTCTTTTTTTTTACAACAATCGATTCCTCAGAGTTATTCAAACTCTCCGGAAAACTTTTCAGTAACGATTGATATTTTTTTATCGCTCGCCCGCCTTGCAAATAAATTAAGGGAATTATTATTTTTACTCACAGGTAGGTGTGTTACTAGGGGAATTGTCTCGTGTCTCCTCTTTGTCTTCTGGGGCAATCGATTCGTCGTTATCGTTTTCTGAAATATAATTTTCATTCATCAATTAAGGAGTTGATTAAACGATCGACGGATTAATCGAAAGATTACATGATAATAATGAGAGCATTTATAATCGCTTATCTCAATGTTTTACGATTTTTCTTAAGGTATTTTTAGAAGACATCACCTTTGGATGGAAATTTGGATGGAAAGTATTGAAACCTAGTTCATCGTTAGAAAAAAAAGGTTCTGAAAAGACTAGTTCAGAATTTAATGAAAAGTTACAGGCGAGTGGGTATTTTTTTTTTAGAAAAATTTATTAACTCTCGAATGTAATGACAACATGAATATTTTACAGAGTTTCGTAATGATTTTCGTTTTAGAAACGGCAGTCCTTATAAAAACCCCAAGGTTACAAATAATGTGTTTTTTTTTTGGGATGGAGGGGTAGAAATGCGGGGATTGGAGTACTTCGCAGTTCAGAAAAGTTCTCGAAACTTTCTGCTGCAGCATTTGAGGTTTCGAGCGGATTTCGAATCAAGAAAGGAGAGAATTTTTTGTTGAATCTCCACGGGGAGTCCCAGGAGACTTGGATTTGTAACTTCAGCTGCATTCAGGATTTCGTCTCTTATCGGTGTTGTCAATGTGTCCTTAAACCTAAAAATAATAAATCATATAAAAACCCAATGGAAATATTTCTGTATTAAAAATCCTATCTAGCCTAGAACAGTAACTGAATCTTCGACTCCTCATCCAAAAACGTTCTCAATTAATTATTGAGACCTCTATATTTGTTTATTGATCCTTCACGACTTCAATTCCCAAATTAGCAAAGAATAAAAACCTGTGGGACAATCTCTTCAGGTCCAGGTAGGTACCAGGAAGATCACTAGAGTATGGATTAATAAAAGCCAGTGTTTCCACAGCCATCGATCTGGTTTTCACTGATTTATCAATCGGTGAGACATTGAGCACTAGAACATCTCCAACAGGAATAGCCTCGAGCTTAAAATCCAGGTCCTCAGTCAATCTGTTCCTCATGGAGATCTCATAGACCCCCGAGGCTCTCCATTTCACTGGATCGAAGGGCCTTGAACTTATAAAAAAAAAAGTGTTATTATCAGCTAAAATAATCAGCTGATGTCTTTATTTATCTCATCCACTTACTCATCATCACCGGAATCATCGATGTAGTACCCAACCTCCTCCATTATCACTGTTGACACTGTGATCAGCTGATCGTGATGGGTCACATCACTCCTCAATGATAACACAATTTTTTCCAGTGCTGGGGATAACTTAAAAAACGTACTGTCTTCTACGCGAATTCCTCTCGACATTGTTCCTCCATTTGTTCGTAAATTTCACAACAATTTGTCGGCGTTAACACTGACACTTGTGATCACCTCGGGCATGGAATGCGCCACTACTTTACCAGCAGATGATAGATTTTTAAGACGAGGTAAAACGATTACCCATTTTTTATTTTTATATTATGATATATTATGATTATTTTTATTGCAGCACAATTAGGCACTTCTCGTAATTATCGATTTATCTTTATGACTTCTGGACTAAATTTTCAAAACCGGAAAAAATCGGAAATCTTACCCCTCAAATTTACATTTATTTTGTTTTTTATTGTATTAAGTGTAATTTTGATTTGTAAAAAAATTCCATCCAAGGGATGATGAACTAATTTAATCCAATTAAAAAGAGTTTGTGGAATACATTTTTTATAAACCACTCGGAATATTTAGAATATAACATTTTTGTTTTTGTGAGATTTTCTTCAGAAGACGTGGATGTAGGGAGAAATACTGAGGAAAATTGTCATGGGGACAGAATTTTTTATCAAAAATTCGAATTATATTTTTCCGTGAAATGACGCATTATCGAGATAATTACCGTTTTGAACAGAGACTTTTAACGATTTATCACTCCATTAGTGGAATATTACCCATTCCATTTTTGTTGGAAAGGAAAAATGAAAAAATAGAGGAAAATGGTGAGAGAAAGTTGTTCTGCAAGGAATTGGGTGGTTGGGAGGAGTGGGAGGTAATAAAGAAGGGATTAAATGGGTTTTAGGCTTTAACCCTTTTTGTAATAAGTGGTGGGCCAGTAAGAGATAAACTTTTTCTGATAATACGAAAAAATCTTGTGGTGGAAAAGAAAGAGATACATTCGTTACTGAAACGCAGTTGATAACGATTATCTCGATTTTTATCTCAATTCTTTACAAGGAAATGATAGTTCAGAGTGATTCTCACATTTATATCAGATTTTCTCGTTCATTTAATAATTGTCATCGTAAAAATATTTTTGAACAGAACGATATGACAGCAGCCAGATAAAAGTTATAATTCTTATTCATTTTTCGTGATAAAAATGTATTCTCCATTTCCTCAAATACTCAAGATGAAAAAATCAATTGTTCCATCATCAATTGATTTTTTCTTCATTATCAATAGAAAAAAAAAATCGAAATGAGAGAATTTACTCCCTTCGAAAAAAAAAACGTTCAATTTTCTCTCATAAGAATTGATTCTTCTCATTATGACTGGAAAATGATTGAAATTAAGTCACGCAAGGTTTTTGTTTCACAAGAACAATTCGTCCTACAATTCTACAAAAAAAATGCAGTCCTATTCCTCGAATGTCGTGGAAAAAATAGAAAAATTATTTTTCTCGCACAAAAAGAATTCCCCAAGACGTCCCTGAGAAAAATGAAGTCTCCAGAGTTTGGCACATGAAATTGGGAAAATTCTCGGAGGGAATAAAAAATAGTACGTCCCTGTAAGAGGAAAATTGGCCACTTGTTGCAAAAACGCCAAAGCGCAGAAGCGGATCTGCATTCGAGGAGTGGAGATGCCTCGAATAAAAAAACTAAAACTGTAATTTGAAAATAATAACTCACCATTGGTATCACCTGGATTGTTCTCATCCACATTGACAACACTAAGAGGGGCACAGGTTGTAACCGGATCGATCGATTCGGCCATTTTACAGGTTAACTCCCCGGTTAACCTGTCCGCATTAAGCTGGCACCTATATCGTGTCCAGCAAACATTCGAAAACCTGTATATGTTTTTCGCGGATATGTGTAAAAAATTCAATTCACCGGCCTTCAATTGCATTACCGACACAAAACTCCACTCTTTATAATTAAAAATAACTACACAAGATGGCGTCGTCGACAGATTTGCAAAAATTCCAAAACACGAACTTTCCCGCCACTCACTACCGATGCACCAGGTAAAGGACGAGGTTTACGCGAAAAAACAATAGAACTATTCTTACAGAAGAGAAAACTTCCTCCAAAAAACATGTTTTATGCTTTTCTCGAGTCTGTCTCACTGTGGAGTTATTTAGGATCGAAGGAGTTGCCGCGTTTTTCTGCCAATCACGGAAACACGAAAACACTTAAAATCATGGAATTAATTACTTAAAAATCCTCTCAAAAGTTACCTATCACTTTAACAACACTCACTGATAAGTTTAATTGATAATTCACTAATTAATAACACGAAAAACTGGTGATTTTTGAAAGCGCCTTATCGACGCCACACGACCAGACGACTGGGTGTCCGCCATTTTGTGAGATGGCGTTGCGCGCGCTCGTTCGGGAGTGTTCGGGCGATGGAAAAACAGGAATCGGATTTATTCGGTTATTTATCCAGAAAATAAAATAAAATTATTAATTAATATTGAATGGTGATTAATTGATAATGCGGAATATTTTTGTGATTAATTGCGGTGGCTTAGTGTGATTAGTCGAGTAATTAGTGGATATTTATATTTTATTTCTTATCGTTGGCGGGAGAGTACCGATAGATGCGCGACTGATTTTGCGCAGCAACACAAGATGGCGTCGGACAGCTTGCCCGTGAGGAGACGCCGCCGCTGGGAACAAAGAAAGCTCGAGGATTTTTGAATCGTCAGGGGTTCTACGCGAGTGTTAACGTAAATCCAATGTGACAGTGATAATTACAAGTAGTTATAGTGTAATTAGATCGATCTAGTGTAATGTTCGAGGTGCATTCTGGGGCAGAGCGAGTCTGGCGTCGTTTTCCTTGTTTGGTGAGTTCTCGAAAAATTTGTTTTAATCCGCCAATGATCGCTGAATTGAATCAACTCGAAACACATATTCTCCAAAACGGGGGATTTGCAAATTCCTGATGTTTTGTTAGTTGAATTTGCTGTTTTGTGTTATTACAATGTTTTGTGGCGTTTTTTTAACGTGTGGAATGAACGAATCAAGGATCAAGTCGAATTTATTCGCATGATTTATTTATTTTCTCAATAATTTCGCAAGGAATTCTGGGAATTGAGAGAGACACTGGCATGTCCAGACAATGCGTAAGGAAGTGTTGCAACTCCTCTGATCCATCTTGATCTCTCAAAACAAAAGCATTCAACAGTCCTCAGTGTTTTCATGAAAATTGTTGTCAGTCCTCCGATGACGAGCAATTGATTCCCTAGAAGTGAAGATTCCTCATTGTAAATATCTCATTATCGATTTCAATTTCCCAACAGTCCCCCTGATTTTTTGAAACACCTTTGTTATAAAATTTTCAATCAGGGAGGTATTATATTACCGATTGAACCAGTCGAATGACTGTGTCTTCCAATGGTAATCTTTGAGAATTCCCTCCAGGTCCTCAACTCAGGGTCCCAAACATCGATAGTGTCGATGCTTTCTGTCATGGTAACATTTTTCAATGACCTACCAGCACCACCAATAATATACAACGTATCGAACATAACGTGGAATGAGGCAAAACACCTCGGAACACGTAGAGGCTCGATATTAATCCATCTTAAATCAAACATCAATCAACTAATTAATTTCAAAAGCTCACTTCTCCCACTTCCCCAGAAAAAAATCCAGGCAATTAAAATCATTAAAAAATCAGAATTAATGATCTAATAATGAATTGAGGTCTGAATATTTGAATTCGGATGAATAATTAATCCAATTAATTACATTCAAGGTAATCGAGAGTTTTTGAGGGTTAATGATCTTTTGAAAATGCTCACGTATTTTTCGAGGGATCGAAGCACTCGACGTCCTTGGATATAGGCTCCCTCTTCGAAATAGTCATACCCCCTCCCACCCATATGTAATTACCGTACTTGGTACTTGCTGGGCCTATTCTTGCTGTGTGCATGGGTGGAGCTATTCGCCACGTGCCCTCAGTTGGATCAAAAACTTCGACGGATCTCAGGGCCCTGAAAGCCAGAACAGATAATCAATCAATCAATTACGAGTGAACTCGAATGATTTTACACTCCATTCTTGTCCTGTCCACCAATGGCGTACATCCGCCCATGGGAATTGACCAGAGCAAAGTTTTTTCTCGGTGTCAATAATTCTGGCTCGTTGTACCAACTCCTGGTAGCGATGTCATAGCTCCAGACGGTTCCTAGGGCCACACATTTTCTTTTCAAAAAATCTTCCCTGGGATCGGCACCACCTGATTTGATTATGATTTTATGAATTCTATTGGTCATCACCAGAATTCAACACTTTTCACTTACCAATGAGATAAATTTTTCCCCACATTAATGCAACCGAGTGATGATGTCTCGGCTCTGGTAATTCTCCAACAAACTCCCAGACATTTTCCACTGATTTATACCTGTAAATATCTCTGCCCGTGTTACCCCGAACACCGTACTCCACGTGTGGATCAATTCCACCGAAAACTAGGACAGTATTCTCTCCATTTGTATCCGTTGATTTCTGTAGCCGTGGGGTAAAGGGATCCTCGGTGTCTGTCTCGAAAAATTGAGACGAACTCGTTCCAGCGTCAAAGTCGAGGGGATTGGGTGGATGGAGGGTCTCAACGGCCTCCAGGGCCTTTCGAGATCGAGGGGTTGGCTGTGGGATTTCAGTATTTACCTGGAGGAGACGAGAAAAAAAATTTGTCTTCATGTTTAAATGTCACAAAAATAATTTCTCCCCATTTTTCACTGGGGAATTTCTCATTATTTCGATTGATCTTATCTGTTCCAGTTTTTTACTCACTTGCCTGGGGTCTCCAGACACACCACCACCTCCAGCCTGTCGCAGGGGCTCCAGGGGCTGATTATTCTTATTTATCGATGGAATCGACAGCAATTGCGCCACTCTCCTTGCATTCTGATTCTCATCTGACGACAGCTTTTTTATCTGGACCCAAGTGGATGGAAAAAATTAAATTGCTGATACGGTGAGTCTTTTTAAATCATTTTTTTTTCAACCTCTTGAAATGTTTGACGTGTTTTATATCCTCTGTAAACCGCTTGTATTGTGGTGGCAGCTTCTTCCTCGGACTTTGAAGAATCCGAATTTTTTCCATTTCTTCGGTAAAATTCTCTCTTCCTCTGCCTTAGTTTTTTCCAATTTAATCCGCTATTTGATTTCCACTGATCGCATCTGGCGTCATCTACGTGGTTTCGCGTTTGATGTACATCGGTGTGACCGGGAATAATCTGGAAAACAGATTGAAGTTGGCAAACTTAGGCGGATCGATTCGCCCTGGCAATTCAAACTCACCCGAATTTATGCTAGCACACACTTTCAGAGTGAAACTCAATTTCTCTTGCTAACTCTCTCTCTCTTCCAACTCGATATTGTGTATGGGAATTAATTCAATCGCTCAGGAATTCAAATTTTTATTCAGTCGGTCATTATTACCGTGAATTTTAGTGATACCATCGAACAGATCGGGGAATTTATTCTCAAATTAAAAAAAAACAGTCAATTTGGCCCAATGGATTTCGAGAAAATTCCAAAAGAATTTTCATCGATCACTTTTACATTTTCGACTGTAAATCGGGTTCTGCGATAACTAAATTGTTGATTTTTTTTTTAATTCGAGGTGTAATTTCCCTGGCTAGATGGTGGCGCAAGTTCTGTGATTATTCCGGTGGTAGTTTGTGAGATAATTATGGTTTTTAAAATATTGATAAGTATTTATTCTAAGGTATTACAAGAATAAGGTATTGGTCGGGGTTTGGGGGTGAAAAAGTGTGGGTTGAAGGGTTTTGAAAATTCATTGGTTCTTGAAGCTCGGTAATTTCACATCAAAGTCGTTTGTTCCTCTACTCACCACCTTGGAATGACTCCCCAAGCTGCTCAAGTACTTGCTGAGAATTTCAGGCGGCATACCAAGGGTGGGAGGGGCTCCTTGAGCTCCCTGACCCCCAACTGGCATCCTCGGGCATCTCGAGGGTCTACCGCCGATGTTGGGGGGTAAATTCACTTGACCTGCAGTTAAATCAGTCGAACAATTAAAGTTGATCAATTTTTTTCGATTGAAAACACTCTCTGAATATGGGATATCTCTGAAACTATTTCATTTACAAATTAACACCGAGAGATTTTTTATTATTTTTTAAAATTTTTTTCATTTTTTCATTTTGTTCCGCACGTTTGAAATGAAATTTTTTACCGATTGAAATTTTTGGAATTTCCAAAATTGTTCCCGTCCCTCCGTCTCTAATTAAAGTTTTTCTAATAAATCTAATAAATCATTGCCTAAAAAATCAGTTTTTGCAATGACCTCCAAGTTATCGCGATTTTTAAAATTTTTTATCTTTTTTGAGTTTTAGTTATTTCGGACATATTTAGAGAATAATAGAAGCTAGATTTTTTTAATTTTATGATTTTATCGATTCATGTAGCACTATCGCTTTAATTAATTTTTTTTGATTCGGGATCAAAATTATTTACCTGATGAGGAAGCCCTCGGATTGTGTAGAGATTGGTAATTATTCGGCTGTCTTACCGGCGATTCTGCACAGTCATTGGACATTGTCTGAGATTTTTCAATATTTTTAGTTTTCAGTTCACTTATTTTCGTTCTCTGGTATTCCTCGAGGTATAGCAGAAATTCCCGATAAGTCACGTAATTCTAAGAACGATAAAATGATATATTGCAGGTGAATGAGGGTATGAACAACATGAAATAGCAATATCGTGGATAAAGATAGGAGAAAAATATGAAATAATGATAACTTCATTTTGAAAATTTTCTGGACGATTCTACTTACAGAATCACATGAATATTATCAGCCCAATAAAAATTAAAACAAAGAATTAGTTAAATTGCGTGGCAGTCTTACTCGATTAATTCTCAAAAAACTTGGAAATCAACGATAGAAATCATTGAAATCATCAGTCATTCTGAAATTAACACAATTATCGACATAAAATTGATTGTCGTTTCACACCTTTTCTTCGCCCGTCCAATTACGATTAGCCGGTTCTGTAAGTCCCAGTAATTCAATCCAGTGGTAATAATCTTGAGTCTGATTGCTATACCAGTACTTGATAATCACAAAACTGTCGAGTCAGAGAAAAATAATTTGAATTTGTGAATGGGAAAAAAATTTGCCGTTGTGAAAGGAGAAATGGCAAGTGTTCATTTGAGGGTTGATTTTTAGATGGGGTGGTTGGGGGAAGGGGAGGGGTGGGTACACACTCGGAAGTACTCGAGGGACTTCACCCCCTCGGTTCTCAATATGTACGTGACTCAAACTCGTTGGGAAAACGCGGGATTCAAGGGCTCTAGAGACAGCCAGAGGGACTTCAAGTGAAACGTTTATAAATTTAACTTGTTTTAATTAACAAGAGTTAAAAAATTTGGGCTTTTTGCGTCAGGAGACATCAGGGGATATGGAAAAAAAAAATCAAGATAACATGAAGCGAATTTTTTTTTTTCCAATCTGGAGCAAAAGTTTTATTAATTTTTCTCATTGGTAAATGCGCTGGAATTTTGGTGACAGGATTTTTTTTTCGTTTTGGTTTTTCAAAATGGGTATTTTGGGGTACAGGGGGAAATAGTGATGGATAGCGGAAGTAATTGATGACATACGCAAGTCCATCGTCCACCATTTTTTGTATCTCGGGATACGACATGAGCTCCATAAATTCTGGATTCTCCGGGTTTCTTTTGACGTCAACGAGCTGCCAGGGGGCGATAAGCCCGAATCTAACGCATTTGAGAATGTCCAGAAGATATTCTTTACGGGTTTCCCAGTCGTACATCAACCACCTTACAGCGGACATTAAAACTTCCATTTCACTTTATAGAAGCAAAAAACAACAATTAGAAAGAAAAAAAGGTTCTCCCGTATTTAATGAATTTAGTCAATTTTTTTACCTGTTAACGCAAATGTAATCCGATCGGAGTAACAAACAAAGTTCGTCAACAGAAAGTTCGAGAAAATCTTTAGTGCTAACAAGCATCAGAAAGAATTTCATTATCCTGGGGATCATTAGCTCCATCACAGCGGAATTTCTAATTTTTTTTGCGTCGAGATAGAGGAGAAAAGCCGTGTCCTCGCTAAATAACTCCTCGTTATCGATAAAAGACCAGCACTGCTCCTCCAACTCTGAAAAAGTCGATTGTTTCCTCAATAAAGTAGCTCTCCAATTTTTCATCCCCCGGAGACTCAGAATTTAGGATCGATAGTGACTCCACCCGATAGACCGAGAAATTTACCTACACATTAAAAAAAATATGACCCGTGTAGCTCCAATAGGAGAGAAGTTAGAGCCGAAAACGTAAAACCGATCTAGCGAGCGAATCTCAAATGATCTATAGAATAATTTAGGATTTTCGGAGGATCTACTCGGGCAAAATGAGTCGTCCTTCTTGTAATCGATGGTAAAGCCCTTTCACTACCCGATAGGATTATACCCAATCCATTCTGCCCACGCTGGCTAAAAATGATCTAGCGATCGATAAATGATCTATGAAAATTCATTCGTAATTTTCTCCAAATCTACCGGGCCGATTTGATTCGATTTTCTTTTGATTTGTCGGCAATATCTGTCGCTATTAAATTGGGTACCTTTGATTCCGAGTACTTGGGCACCAGTAAATATCTCAAGAATATTATCCCGCCTCAGAAGATGGCAACTCTCTGCACTGCAGCTTATCATCCAGTCATAGATGATGGAAAATGCTCGTGATGTCACACCGCTCTGAATTTATCATAACAAACTCAGGTTATTCCATGTATGTTCTGTTGAAACAAATATTTGATTTCCCTTAGGAAATTTTATACAGAACGGACGAGAGGCGAAACCATGAAAATAGGAGAAATATCTTCGCACTAACTCCCAAGGAGACAAAAGTTGAATAAAAATCGTTGTAGAGGAAGAGAATTTTTAAAAAATATAATTTTTTTTTCTTCCACGGTAAATCCCGGGATTTGTTTAGAGTCTAGGGAATATCTTTTTACCGGGCGATTTGAAATAAATTTTTTGCTCCATCCCAGGGGAAATTCTTAATTTTCTAGGGGCTTTTCTTCGCTGAATATATTATATTGAATATATTCAGTCGTTTATGCGTCATTAGGTTGACCATATGCGGCAAATGATTGTTCAGGCAACGGCGTGCACCAGGACGATAACACACACTCTCATTCAAGTGAGGATGACTGGTCTCGCCTGTCCTCGAATGATAGGATCGATCGACATGCGAAATTGTTTCGAGAAAATAGTTTACCCCCGTTAAGTCGATCTCTTTGCAGTTTTTATCGTCGAAGAAGGTGCTGTAACTCTGGAGAACAAGGAGATGACAGTGAAACTCGTCGTGACCCAGATGCACTATACAATCTGCATTTCTTACGGGAGAATGAAAATAAAAGTTATTTACAAATTGAAAATCGCTGAGAATATCGACGCAAGTTGATTTTCAACAAATCCGGATGATTAAATTTTCATAATTACTTGTAATTGGTGATTCTTCTCTCTAATTCGTCGTACAAATCAGTTTTTTCGGGCAAATTTATATTTTCCCAGTCTATCGGCTGCTCCACAGTGAATCCCAGGCTTGAGAAATTATTGGGAAATCATCGGAAAATTCGCAAGTGAAATTTTTTTATTTTTCTTTACGGTTAGGGAATCGGATTTTTTTTTTTTCATGAACTTACGAAGCCAGTGGGACTTCATTTCCCGGTTGATGACGATGATGATTCCCCTGATTATTCTGTTTCATCTCCATCTGATCGTGTCGTAATTTTCCTCTGTGCGGTTGAGTTCTAGGCACGTACTGTGTGGGTATCCTCGGTAGTTTCCTCTGTGCTTGCAGATGGTCAATCGCTGACGGGGTCACACCCGGTGGTAGATCCTTTGCTTGTCCACTATCACCAATCTCCACTTCCGGTTTATTGAGCTCCGCTTTTACGTTCACCTTTGCGTGACGAGGGTCAGCAACTAGGACACTTACTTTTTTCGATTCGAATATCACCTGGAATTTTATTTCATTACTGGGGATTTTTGTGGGGTCACTGTCGACCCCACTGGCTACTCCGCAGCTATTTCCAATGACGGCTCCATAAATTTACCCACAGATTGAAAAAAAGACGAACTTTCTAGCCCCGGTAGATGCGGAGAAAATCCCGAATCAATTTTTGGAGATCATTTCGCGATCGTTAGATCATTTTTTTACCGCGGGGGATAATTCGGGCGGAGACAGCTCTAATGGATAATTGGAAATATTTTCCAGCGAAGTGAAGAAAGACGAGTCAATTCGCCTGGGTAGATCCCTCAAAAATCCCAAATTATTCTATAGATCATTTTTTACCTTCTATCACTATAGATCACTTTTAGATTTTTCGTTGTAACTCCGACGCTATGGGAGCTACAGAGGTCGTCTTTTTTTTAATTCACGGGTAAATTTCCCGATATATCCGCTGGTGTTATTATTGATCCCGAATTCGCCTTTATTCGATTGAATAAATACCACGAGGGCTTTTCGGCTGGTATTTTTACTTGATTGGGAATGACTTTGAGGTTTCCACTCGGTGTCGACTGAAATGGAAAAACTCTTCTATTCTCCGTTCCCCTTTCATTCACAGAATAAGCCATATGTCTAATGACATCATTAGTTGGCTGTCTGAGACATGGGGATGGGGTGCGTCTTCCTGAATCAACAACTCGTGACTCTTGAATGATATTGACATTTAACGATTGTCTCCTTAATGGTCGACGATGAGGTGGCCTTCGTCGTCGTGGCTGTAATTTTGGGGGTATCCTAGGGCTCTCCCTCGAACTGAGTAATATTTCATGATTATTCCCACAGGGCACAGAAAAAAATAATTTCTACTATAATGTCAAGGACTTTCTTGAGAGAATGAGAAATCGAAAATGGCAATTGATGATTTAATGAATTTTTATCGTTTATGAGTTCAAGTTTGTCTTTTGGATAATTGTGATTGATATAACTTTTTGGATAGACTCAACTGTTGATTGGGTGGGTGGGACTGCGTTACAATTGTGTGGTCGGATTTGGAGGTGCGAACGAGGGTCTTTGAGGTCGTGGAGGAGGAAGGATCCTGGTTAACCGTCGGTTCACCCTGGTACAAGATAACAACCTCGCTCTTGCTGTTATCTCCCTTCAACGATAAGGACTTGTCCTCCCTGCTTGCTAAACCCACTTTGGCAATGGAATCTTGACTTTTCTGGTTGGCTTTCGATAATTTATTAGTGTAGGGATTACCTTTTCCGCTGTGACGTCTCAGTGCCCTCAATATCCGGGGTGTTCCCTCCTTTCTATTCATCAATAATTTGTCATTAAAAGTGTATTGAGAGGTAAAGACAAGGGGCTGAAGTTTTGCGGTGATGATATTTAAAGAAAAAGGGTAATTATTGATTTGAAAAGTTTTGACGCTCGACTGAATCGTTGGAAATCGTCGTGCTAGTAAAAATCGCTGTTACAGACCCCTTGGGAAATGGGGCACAACAGTTTGTACTGTCATACCCCTTCGGCTGTATTTTTAATTACCCAAGTTTTCCTCTGGATGTACCCTCGAGATAACTTATCCGCTGGTGCTGATGACAATTGTAGGGAAAAAGGAAAAATCCTATTAGTTTTCAGGATAATTAACGCACGAAAAATTAATTAAAACTTGCAAATTCACGTCTTCTGGTATTGCCCATTGGATAAATCCAAAAATTTGCAAACCATTAAAAAAACTTGTCCAGTTGGTTCTAAATATCCTTTTTTGCATTTTAACTAGAATTTTTCGATTTGTCGAATGGCGGGACACTTTCTCATTTATTTTGATTGCTTCGGTTTTACGGAAAAAATTATTTACCTGATTATTATTGACGGAAAATTTATCCGGAATGTTGGGAAAACTCGAGCTCCGGTGAAATCTCTTATCTCTGCTGTTGTCTGGTGAATTAATCGCAATTTGTTATAGCTCTCTCGATTGAATTGTGAAAAATTGAATTGTTAAGTCGCGATTTATCACATTATATCTAACGGGATATGACACTTACATCACTTACGTAATTTGAATTCGGGTAATTTGTAACACGTGGGGCGACACTCAGACCACTGGGTATGACAGCCACTGGGATTTACTGGGTCAAGGTCTGATGAGTGACAGGAGTCGTTTTCTGTTGATGTCGTAATTATATTTCTCTGTGGATCACCGATCAATCAATAAAAAAAAAATCATTTTCTCTTAGAAAATGAGCCCGGGAAAATTCACCCATAGATTAAAAACAAGTACATCTACTTTCGCCTGTCACTGAAAATCATTTTCCTGTCAAAAATCTATTTTTCCTCCAACTCAAAACCAAAGATGCGAAATTCCCATTTTTTGCCAATTCGGGGGTTGAATTGTCAGAATTTGAAGTGTAAGAAAAAAGGTTAGAGTTTTCTTTGATTGAATAATTAACAACTTACATAATTATTGAAAAAACTTCTTCTCATGATCCAAATCTCCCGTCTTGATGGAGACAAATCATGGGATATCTGTAATGGATAGAAAAAGAAAATGTCTTGCGATTGGAAAATTCCCAAAAAAAACCTCAAAAATTTTTCATTAAAAAATGCGTAAAAAAAACAATTGAAGAGTCAGTTGGATGCTGTCTGAAGTAAGGGTAATGATATTACAGCTGAATTATGTGGAGAAGTTTACATAGTGTAACAATTACGTTTGGGGCTCGATGGGAGATGTGAAACGTCGAGAGGGCGGTTGTTGGGGCTTGTTACGCGAAAATTTACCGGGGTAACTTTACGAGTTGTTGAGAACCACCTCGTTGTTGCTGAGTGGCTTGTCAAGCCCAAGTTTATGGACTCGTCATTTTTCTCCACTCGTCATCAACATTTAATTATCATAATTGGCTGGCCTTAGGCGTTATTTTGATTATTGTCGCGATATTCCAGTTAAATCAATCTGAAATGCTGATATGATTTAAATAAACAAATGTATTTAAATCGAATCCACAGATTGGAAATACCTGGGAAATGATTTTTCCTAGTGAGTCAAAACCACAATTTTCCGGCTAAAATTTCCCATTTCTCTACTAATGGGCCCATTTTTCAACTAATAGCTCCATTTTTCCACGTGGATCATTGCGAGTGATTCAATTGAATTTTCAATCGAAAAAAAAAAATAGATTCCCGACGTATGATTCACTCGGAAAATCGTTTTTCGTCTGTTCACATATAAAATCGGATATTCGGTAGTTCTCTGGTACATCGATTGGCAATTCTGTCTGTCGAATGAAGAATGACGTCGAATCGAAGGCATACATTATGTAGAAAAAATGAAGGGAATGGTGCCGAGGAGATTCATCGTTGAACTTCAGAAGATGAATCGAAGTGAAAGGGTTGCACAGGGTGGCATTGAGGGGTGTGTCAACGAGCAGTGGGGCTGCATACAATCCATCGAGGAGGGGTTGTGACGCGGATGTAACCTTGGCAACTCCATACCCCGTAGCAAAACCTCCCTCCCATCTCAAATCCCCTCATCACGCCATCCCCATCCAATCTTTCCATTTCATCCCCCACCAAACAGCGCATTCAACTACCCCTACGTTTGCAAATTTTCTCTATCCACTGTCCCCGTCATTCCCTGCGTTTTCGCATTGAGGAGAGGGGACTATCTCCACCCACTCGTACAAATGGATCAAAAGTGGAGCGACCATGAGACAATGCATGTCCTACAACTTATGAAACCATCATTTCTCCCCAATTTTCACTTTAGAAAATTGAAGAAAAAAATTATTCTCATTACCACCGTAAAATCTATGATAAACACGTAGATAATACCGGTTAATTTTACCACGTGGGTCAGAATGACGGCAAATCAGAATATTTCACGGTAAATTTTGCTACCTATTCGCGCCATACCTTGAGATTTTCATTTTCTAACGAAAAATTATTTCCAAATTGTCGCGAAAGTGCGCAGCGACCCCGGGGAAAAACCAGAGAGTGGTATTTTTTTCTTTTTTTTTATTGATATCATAAAAAAAATGATATCGAGATGAAAAAGATGAGGGCGAAAATGGGGATAGTGTGGAGCAGGAGGAACGGTGGATGTAAGCGGGTTGGCATTGGGTCGAGGTCACCAGGACGCGAGTGGCGATCGATGCAGCCTACCAACCGCACTCTATACCCCCTCATCGCCCAACCACCCACACATCCCCCCTACCACCCTCATCTCTATTATCCGATTCCCCTCAATTCCCCTTTCTGGCACTCGAAAGAGCATGAATACTCTTCTCCTCTCCTCTCCTCCTTCTCATCCCCACTTGGCATATCCTTTTAGCCAGTGTTTTAACCCCTCCAGTAAGTAATGCTGTCCTCTCCTCCATTACAACAGCTTCCGGAGCACCGGATAAACGCATTTATCCTCACTATTCATTTATATTCCTTAGTAGTTTGAGGATGTTCATTATTTGCTGGAAATATCACCTTTTTGGGCATTTTCTAACTGATCTTTTTTCTTCGGTTTGTGGTTTTCTCTTTCCGGATATCGTTTCAGAATTGGGGAAAATCGTTTTCGGATTTTTATGTAGACCTGTGGTTTTTTTTTATACGTCATGCGACGAATGATCGTCGGAAAATCGTGAATATGGGAGTTTTTTATGAGGAAGAGGAAGCCTGGTCGAGGAAAATCCAGTCACGGTGACGAGATTCATAAATCGCAACTTCATCCATCATATCTGGTCAGGATGATAAATAAAAGCATTGTGGTTTTCCCGATGATTCTTTACGATTGTGTTTCATCATAAATCCTTAAGAGGCATTCACTAGGTCACAGGGGTATTTTCATGTTGATATTTTCTTTGGGATGAAAATTCCATGGATGAAACTAATAATCGCGAAAATGCAAGGATGAATTAATGAGAAGGGGATTTGAGGGAATAACGGAAGTAGATATTTTAGCTAGGAAAATCCGGTTCCATTTTCTCCCCCATTTTCTCTTGGTTGTTCATCAAAATAACAACTAAAAATATTACAACAATTATATCGACAATTATATATTATTTCGACAGATTACAATAACAAGGAGAAAACAATAAGTTCTCATATTTGGTACGTAATTGTCAATTAACCTCGAACTTTTACTCGCTGCAACGGTTTTTTAATGAACCAATAATTATTAAATTTTTCAAATGATGAAATGACGTTATGACGGACGCCTCAAAAATACTCCACGTCACAGACCGATTGACGAATTTAATTCATGGAAATCTTCAGGCTGTAGTCAATATGGTATACGCAAAATGTAACTACACGGAGAGAAATATTTAGTAAAAATTACGGAACTTTGAGTTCACTTACCGATTACGGAGTTGATTCGAAAAATTTAAGTGACGGTATCATTATGTTTCACCGATAATTCAGATAAAAATTACGGGACACCGCGGAAAAATTCCGTGACTTTAGATAAAAATTACGTGACAGTTCCGTAAAATTTCCGACAACCACATTTCGCTCCAGAATTACGGAAAATACACGTAATTTTTATTGAATATTTCTCTCAGTGTAGATTACATTTAGGGATATTCCCCCAAAAATAATTGTGGGCGATAATATTTCGCCAGTATAATACTTATGCACAGTGAATAATTTAATCAGTCTTTTCGTTTGTAATGTTGAAAAAAAAATGTAATGGCTCGCGAAGTAATATTTTTTTGAAATATTTCGAGGGGGAATATTATTATTGAATAAAATTTAGAGCGGTTCCGTATTTTTTCCTGAGCATTCACTGAATAGTGCGTAAATTTTCCGTAATTTTAACTGGGAGATTACCGAACAGGCACGTAATTTTTATGAAATGTTTCTCGCCATGCATGATCCCTCATCGAACAATCGCGAAATTCCGTTAATTATCCTCTCTTCATTGAGGCATTCATTAACCAGTGGAATTCACTTCGGTATTGAGTACTCATTCCTACCCTTGGCTAAACCATTTTCCGATATATTTTTCCACAATTTTTCCACTGGTCTGCTTTATGCTGATTCAATACTCTCAACACGAAGGGGTGGATCCAGTCAGAAATCACGCGACGAATTACCCTACAAGGTACACGACATTGTTCCCTTGAAATTCAATTCGCTCGAATAAATTTCACTTCGATTTATCCGTAGAAAATTGAACATTTTCATTCTGAACAAAAAAATCGGCGTCCATTCATGAACATTAATTAATTTTTGTAATCCACAATCTTTCTCCACAATTTTTTATCACAATTTCAATTAAACAATCAGTCAATCTATTTTTTAATCGTACACTCAATAAATTAATTCTATCTTGTCTATAAAATTCATCAAATAAAATATGAAAAATCATTTCTATTCAAATTACATGACATATGATATGCGGTTAATGATAAATCTCAGATAAATACATGAATAATTGATGGTAAAGACTGGCGAAAGAAAGATTGAAAAAAAAATATTATATATTTTTTATGCTATGAATTTCCATTTTCATAGGCAATCATTTCTTTTAAGTCCTTGTCTGATAATTTTTCTTCGTGATGGGTGGTAGGAGCAATAAATTCAAGAGAATGACATGAATAATTGATTCTGGTTATTGAAATTTTCGAGGAAGAATTGTCCACGAATTTATCCAGCGACATTTGCACTCTGACATTGCACGCGATTGCAACATATTTCGGGTTTGTGTGGTGGATCGTTTTGTCCCCCTTTCCCTGAAATTCCCAATGTACCTAACATCGCCAGCCATTAGTTGAACGATCGATTGAATTCGCTGAGAACGTTACGTAATCTCCAGTGGCAATATTGTACCACACTCATACACCATTTGACGAAGAATTATAATAATTCCAGTCATCGATTGAAATTCAACTTTCTTCCTCGATTTCAGTCATCGATCTATTGAAAATGGAAAATTTCATTAAAAAATCAATGATCAGCCTAACCAATTAAATTATTAAAGATTTGATGAATTTTTCGAGACTAATAAAGGATTAATTAACGAATTGAATGAATTAATATTTTTGAGTGGAATAATTGAAGTCAAATGGCCCCAAAAAAATCACATGTCACTGAAATTCCGAAAGACGACTTTTCCTTAATTATTTTAATTTTCCCAAGTGAATTTACGTGGAAAACGTGATTATTTATCGGGGAATAATCGACCTGAAACCCATACGTTCAGTCAGGAATCAAGAACAGAATCAGGCATTACTGGTAATCCGCAGTTATCGAGAAAATCGAGTAACCACTAACAAATCCTCGATTATCGAATGGGGTCATCATCGATTCCGATATGTTCGAACCCCTCGGAATGCAATTATGAAGTTCGATTATTGAATGCGGAAATTTCTCAAGTCATAATTGAGCAATTAATTATCCCTCAGGTATACGTGTGTCATCTTCACGTCGTGTGTCATCTTGAGTTGCCTCTTATTAATGCCATCATCCCACCCCCTCGCCATCTTCCTCCCCTCGCAATTAAATCTCCCTTTCGTTTCATGCGCGCATGCACTGGCGGATGTGTTTATCCAAGAAGTTTGCGGAGTTTAGAACCAACTGACGTAA